CGAGGGGCCTGTAGCTGCTGCTAACCTGCCAGCCTCCCCGCTGCCCAGGCCTCAACAGCCCTGTGAACGTGGTCGGCCTGGGGCTGCTGATGGTGCTTGGAGGTGACAAGGGGCAGCTGTTTTGGTCAGGTGTGATGTGTTGAGGGAGAAGAGCTGATGCTGCCTCTCCCGAGGCTCCTGCCCTCTCTGCACCTCCCTGGCTGGCTCTGCTCCAGGTGCTGGACCCTGGAACATGCTGTGAGCCCGAGTTGGTGGGTGTCCCGTCGTCCAAGACAAGCCTGAAGCTCTACAGGGTGGCTGGAAACAGGGGGTGCTCCCTCACTTTTACCAGCCATCTCCCTCACTCACCTGCCATATGCCGTGGCCAGTGGCTGAATGCCTGCCAGTCATGGATGGCACCAGAAGAGGCCTCTCACCACCTTTCCAGAGCCTGTTCAGAGCCCATCAGCATTTTTACAGGATGGGAGGGTGAGAAGCACCTGAGTGCACAAGCAGCGGTTGCTTTCTTGAAGGAGCAGGGTGACTTGTCAGCCGGTTTTGCAAGGCTTTGTCTAAACCCTTCCCATCAAGGAGAAAAAACAGGTTGGGGTTGAATCAGAGGGTGGCATGGAGATGCGGACAGTGACTCACAGCATCGGGGTGAGAGTGGGCTGGGCCCTGGAGAGTACTGGAAAAGCAGTGGCGGAAGCCAGCAAAATCCACTTTTGTCCTCTCTTGTATGTGCACAACGGGAAAAAGGAGTTCAGAATAACGGTATTTGTAAACATACACATTTATGCACCAGAATGTACACAGGGATTTAAGTGGATCAGGATTCGGGGTAGTACGGTCACAGCATGTGCTCAGAGTTACCAACCACTGAAGAGTAGTTCACGTTTTCCCTTCTGAAGCAAAACCTGCTAGCTGTGGGACTGGAAATGCAGTGTTCACCACATCTTTCTCTTCCAAAAAGGTTCACTGGACTATGCTACATAAAGCACAAGTATACCAGATAAGAGGAAAATAACCTGAACAGAAGCATTGCTTTTTTCCGGATTGTGCACAAAGGCTTCTATCAGCACTGAAACCACACTATGCAAACACAGCAAAGCCTAGCGTCTGCACCACAACACATTTAATATAACACGCGTTACAAAAACAAGCACTTTACACTAAAAAAAAAAAGAAAATATGGGGAAGGGGTGTAAGACAAAGTGTCAGAAAATGAAAGGAACAGAGTCTGATCCTCATATGCTTGTTTCAGGCACACACTGGACGTCAGATGAGGGCTTGGGAGGATTCAACTTACTTGTGCATCACTTACCAGAATTGTTGTTAGGGCATTTAAATGCTAAGTTAACGTTACTTCAAGCATATAAGATATTGTATGCAAAACCAGACAGTTCAGTAACTGAATATTTTAAAGAAAGAATTAATACTAATTACAGCAATGGACCATTGCAAAACCAAGTGTGCAAAATTATTTTGTCCTATCACCAAATACCAGTAACTAGCCTAAGCCTGAGATCAAGAGGATTTAGAACCCCTATGTTTTTTTTGTATCCTATCCAATACATATCTGTATATTCCTTTGCTAATGTAAATTTCCAGTTTTGTTCCACTTTTATTAAACATCATATTATCTTGTGACAGCAGATCACCAGAGCTTAAGTACATGTTGTGTTTAAAAACAGGGGAAAAAAAAAAGCCTTAATTCCTTCCTCCAATTTACATATATTGCTTTAGAAATGTTACAGAATGCCACCTTGTTCCTGAGTTAGTAGAAAAGATCATCAGGAAAGTCCAATTTATCTTTTCTATGCCATTCATTATTTCATATACTGTATCATGTCCCTGGTCTAAAACCCTTTCAATATTTCCACTGTCCTTTCACGTGGTATTCTATTTATATCTTCCATTATTTTGTTCCTAGCTCTAGACCCGTTTTTATTTCTGCTATTTTTCTTTAGAAATTAGTTACTATAATTAAAGCAGGATATGAAGGAAAAAAAATACCCTTTTATACAACTTCATAAAATGTGAAAGGAAAATAAGAGGAAAAAAATCATGTTATTTTGTCTGTCTTGCACCAAGCCTATGTTTATATTCTGCCATCCATAGGAACATAACCGTTCTTCTCTGGACTCTATTCTTTCCAAATGGTTTGTTATTTTGGAATACATGAATTGGAAAATTCAGTTATTAAAAAAAAAAAAAAAAAAGAAAAGAAAAAAAAAAAGAAAAAAAATCCCCTTCTTCACAAGGGGGAACGTGTGTGTGGAAACGACCAGGAAGCAAAGAAGAGGTAAACTGTCAATCTCTCACTGTGCAGAAACTCTCATCTCTTTGCTCTTGCTCTTGTTGCATAATTTTTCAACCCATAATTACCAGTATCAGTCTAGATCACAATAATCTCAGGACCTCTTTGAGTTTTACTTACTTTGGGTATGAGTGAATTAATCCCAAATTTCCTATTTAAGATAATATATTTCTGTTTGTAGTTACTATTGGTTTTCCTGTGTTTCTGCAGATTCCGTTGCATTTGAACCCTTCATAATTCAAGTAACTAACTCTCATCGCTGGGTCCGTAAACTAGACCTCAATACAATTCCCTAACCATCTTAGCAAAACCTACCTCACCAATCCCGCAGTACTATGCTTTAGCCTTGCTCCTGCGTCGCAAGTCACACGTGCAGGTATGTTCCAAGGCTGCCCAGGTCTAGATCCTTGCTGAAGAGGGGTGGTTCTCAGGGTGCTCCTGACCGAAAAGCCTCCCCATAGAGGTAGGAGCCGCTGCTAACTGGCACAAGCAAATCACTCTGAAGTGAATTCTGTGTTGCAATTTAGACCAGTCATCTACTTCATATCTTAATAACCTTTAATTTGCCTCTATAAATGATGAAAAGTATGGAAGCAAGTGAATAAAAATGATATATAGCAAACTGAAGAAACTATTGTTAACTACTGCTAACTGGATGAATTATGTCTGAGTGCAACTTCCCTATTAATGTAAGACATACGTGTGCTCATGTTTAGGTTCCTGAAGAGCTGAGCTTTATTGCATGCAGATATATTTTACTATTTAAGTATCTGTCTTTAAAGAAAGTTACTCCCCAAATTACTGTTTGCCAATTACTGTGTTGGAAGGCAGCATAGATTTTTAAAACACACCATCAGTCCAGATACATGTATCAAGAGTCATTGAACCACTGGAGCAAGTCACGAGGTGTTGAAAAACGTAAATTAATACCAGAAACTCCCCAAATATCCTTACTATATATGTTTCTGGGCTTCCCTATTAAAGTGTATGACGTAGTCCAGTGAGGTAGAAATTACTCAGCAACGTGTGTGACTTGTACAGCATTAATATCCTTTCCTTTGCTTTATACTATGGTACAAGAAATAACTCTTGCTTGTTTTATCCTTCACAAACATGGCTGAAGGTTTCACAGTTCAGTGTTTTCTCAGGAAGTGTGGTTCTGGACCTTTTCATCACCACCTTCTCACTGAGTCTTAGTATCAAATACTATCTACATCAATCTGCATTTTCTCTGAGATGATGGTACTTTCTATAGTGAATAATTTTTCATCTGTTTGAATAACATTTACATCACACTTGAAAACTGTAATTCAAGAAAAAACTTACTGCAGGCTTAGGACTTCAGAAAATAATGTAAATGTTGTTTAAAAACATGTAGATTTCTGTTGAGGGCATAAGATTCTTGTTTCTTTGTCTAAGAAGTACCAGTATATTTTTGGGTGCTAGTGAAACCTACAACTACAATTCTTACAGAAGTGTAACTTAAACACCCAAGAAACCAACCCCCCTTCAGAATTTGCCAATAAATTCTGTCACACATGGCAGCTACCTTTTAGGTCTACTAAATTTTAGTAGAAAATTTTAGAATATTTCATTGTGCAGTAATGCAACATTTCTGATGAAACAGTATTTCCTATCATGCAGAAAGCTAAGTAAAACAGCACCACTTAGCCACATCAAAGGATCAGGCAAGGGTCCTTGTGACAGAGCAATGGTACAGTTACCCAAATATCTTCTCCACATCACAAAAACATCTGTAGTAGAGCCATAAATTACTAGGCAAAGCCACGTTGGCAGTGAGGGGAACTGATACGAAATTAGAAAGCTCAGCATCTTCAGTCCTACCACATAACCAGAATGCAAAGGGAGGGTCAAAATCAGTAACACCCAGGCTACGGGCAGAAAACTGGGTGCAACAAAGGTTGCACTGCTGTTGGTCTTCTCAGTAGGTATGGCTATGAACTTTTCCTTGCCTTGAGCCCTGCTTTATGCACAGGTGGGAGACATTTTAATCTCAGTTTACAAAAAAACTTGAAGCAAAGATCTGAATAATTTATTAAGCTAGACAGGATTTGCCACAATAGTCTACTAATCAGTATATTATATAATACTAATTTATAGTAATTCAATCAGTATTTTATAAATATCCCAATTTCAAAATAGGCAGTTACTGGCTTTGTTTAGTAACAAAAATGTAACCGCATCGCATAAAATTACAATATGGGCACAAACACTGGCTACGTTCACAAGAACAGTTTGCTGATGCGTATGTAGCATCTAACCTTGTTAGTATTTACTTTAAGTAACCAGTTATACACAATACTGGTGATCATTATTATCAGTTCTCTATGAGAATAAGAAACAGGAAGCTTCTGCTCATAGCACTACTTTATTGGCATCTTAACAGAAATATTTGAGAAAATGGCAGTAGGTGGAAACAGTGTTTTAACAGACTAATTCAGGTTTACAAGCATTTCCAGACAGCAAACACCATTTTGCTGTACCTATTGTATTTTTACACTTACACAACAAAACCTCTCTGAACCACTCAGTTGTTGTATATGTTGCTGGAACCTACCTGCCATTTTAACTCAGTTTTCAAGCAGTGTGATTTCCCTTGAACTTTATTATCTAGTATTTGTCCACTACAGTGGGGAAAACTGATGGGGAAGAAAAGTAGTGGGGGAAGGGAGCAGAGGGAGAAGGACTAGGGTAGAACAAATGTGAAATACATTTAAGAGCGCAGATAACTGACAGTAAAATATATGTGCTTTGGATAGCAAGCAGAAAAAACAGGAAAGTACTTGCATACATGATAGATACACACTAGCATTCTAAAGCAGAAGACAAGAATGTCAAGAGTGTATTCTTCCCCCACTGCCAGATGGAAGGGCTATTATTATAAATGAAAGGCAGCGGTAGTGGATGCCAGGCACTTTTGTTTTGTGCCAGACTCTGAAGTCCAGATGTAAGCAGGTTACCCCTGGGACAGGACAGGCTTCAGCTCCCGCAGCAGAACAGAACCAATCACAGTTTTCTCGGTGTTTATGATGAGCTGTGCTGTAGTGCTCTCCTTCAGCTCCACTGTGACTAGCATCAGTGACCCACTGTGCACAGTCTTAGCTGCAAACCTGGAGGGAAAAGGAAAAATAAAAAATAAAAATCACTGAGGATCTTAAGGTCAAAGACTGCTAATATTTCTTTCTGAGAAAGTTAAATGAGCTCAAATATAATAAAATGCCTCCAATTTCATTAACACATTTCAGGGGATAAACCACAGAAACCTCCATAAATTCTTCAGAAATAATTTGTTCAGCATTGTGTAAATATTTTTGCATTTAAGAAGGACAAAAAAGTAGCATAGAAAACTGTATATTTAATAGCGCAACAATAAAATCTATTAAAATACATTTTTATGTAAATTCTGATTCTTCAGTTCATCTACAATACTCAAGAACTATTTTACTGCACACTGGCAACTTCAATTCAGCTGTACGGAGTTTTCCATGGATTGTGAGCATTATTTGGTGCCCCAAGGAAAATTCTACTATGTTAAATGCGGTAGAACACTTCCAAAAAGCTGAACTGTTGTACTTTCAAGAAAGTGCATCCTTCTGCCATCTTGGGAATTCATTCAAACTAAAAGTATTCAAAGTTACAAACACCCAACATGATCATTTGAAAAGATGGTAACAGCAAGTCAACAAATCATTCCATCTGTGAATTTATCTCCAGAATATATAATAACCAAAACGTGGCCAACACTTCTAAATATTTTATATTTACTAAAAACTCTATAAAGCAAATAAACCCCTGCTCCAACCAACCAGGTAAGCAAAAGTTAGGATTAATGCACCATTACTAAATTCCAAGACACAAAGAACCCATTAATTACATGGAATTAAAAGCAAAACTAGCCTTTTAAGCACCACAATTGACTGAAAAGCCATTTTAGGCACAATGAACTTCTGTCAATCCTGTTAATTCATTCTGCATGCACAGCCAGGCCCAAGAGACGGAAGGAAGAGGATGGCAACGGCCTCAGCTTCCATCTTCCACAAGGAGCACACCATGCTTTTTTTTGCCTTTTTTTCACCCCTCCCCGCCTTGGTTACTTGACAACAACAAAGTTGCTGCACATGGGCTTTTGAAAACACTAACAAGTGTAGAGCAGGTCTGTGACCCAGTCTGACCCCACTTTGCAGGGCCAATCTCCTCTCCTCTTTCTGAATGACATGTGTCTGAATCAGAGCCATCTGCCTCAATTTGTGCAACATCTTCAGCCACAATAGGACCCAGTTAGCCCTGACAACAGCTCACAATACAGAAAAATCAAACTGCTGGGCCGACAGCAGGCTGTGGGCTATTCAAGAGCAAACCAACTGGTCAGTGTCTCATGTCTGACAATTGGCATGGGCCTCGCAAAGCGCCTACCCAAGCCCTTGGGGATCTGTTTAATTACCATCAATATAAAGGAGGGAGTTTATCAGGAGATACTCAAAAAACTTCACTCCAGACTTAATTAAAATATTAGCCACTTAAGCAGGAAGCAGGTTCTCTTTAAACGAGAAGTAATTTCTGTCTTTTTCTTTTTAAACTAAGCATATCAAAATCTCGTAACACATTATACTAATTAAGGAAACATGGGGCACTTCTCTAATGTCACCCATCACGGGTCAATCTACTTCTTTTGTGCGGTTTACTGACACGTTCAGATACCTCTCCCTTTAATAGGAGGTTCTAAACCAACCTTCTATAAAAATTAGCTACTTAGCTAGTTACATCAATGGTTTCATCTATTTGAACTATGATGTAGAAGATCACTATTTCTCTTGTTGATTTTGACAGGGGGATAATTATAGAAACAATAGTCTTATTAGTCACTTTATTTACGTAACAGTTGTGTCTTGGGACAACACAGAAGCAGATTATGTTTGAGTATGCACATAAATAGGTTGGTAGTTGGCACTCCTGCTGTTTCATAGCCCCAAGGCTTGATTTTACCCTCTTTTATTAAAACCTGAGAGTAATACAAAGTCAGTTCTGCGAAAGCCAAGGCAGCCCAAAGCAACAGCAATGAGTTTTGCACCAACATTTTTACGTATGGATCTGCAAAATCACATAGGGGATCAACAGTACTTTTCCATATCTCTGAACAAAACGTAAAACCAATAAAATGTGAGTTTGTATGTAGTTTGCAAGACGCAAAGAGTCTGATACTTGGATAATTTTACACAAAATGTTAGTATGCACACCTAGAAGTGGCTAATTGGTTTGTATCAGTTGTCACCGATCTAGAATCACCTAGTGAAAAAACAACTGGAGCAGAACAGGCTGACTTATTTGCCATCAGAAAAGGGTACCACACAATGGGTTCACCACTGCTTTTGAACTTTGGAAAACAAAATCTGTTCATTAAAGTAGGGCAGACAATTTTGTTTCTAAAGAGACTTATAATATAAATACACTTATATGATCCTTGAAACTGAATACAGTTATAAAAGGATGAAGCAGTTGCCTTTTGGTTAGAAGACACTACCAGTAAAAATGATTTGCTAATTATGTAGATGTTTTAAATATACTGCCATTGAAGGATTTGGGTATTAGCTGTTTTTTTCCACTAAGTACATGTTATTGCATTTATATGCTTACCCTTATGATAGACCTACATGGATCTTACAAAATGCGTGTTGTGCTCAACTAAACACTTAAGACGAGAAAGCCATTAAAAAAATCTTTCAGCAGCAAAAATTAATCACTCTCTATCGCAGGTATTTATTCTCTGTGAGAAACTTTCATTTTCCTCACAACATCAGTAATTATTTTTTACTTCTTCTGAAAGTTGATACTACTTTAAAGGTTAGAATTTTAATACAAAAAAAATTGAAAAAAGTTATTAAAACTATTCAAAATTCATAGACTGAAGTAAGCTTTGGAAACTGCACTACAGTACATTAAAATCTATCTTGTAAATTTGCTGTTTGTAGGTCCAAAAGAAAGATTTTGTCCTACAGGCAACTCTTAACGTAAGACATTATATTAGCATGGTTCTGTTGCAACAAAGGATGCATCAGTGAACAAGAAAAAAAAAGAAAGTAAATGAGAATACCATTCAGAAAACAGAACCAAATGTTTACTAATAGTTTCAAGACAACTGTTTCTGATACACTGCAGTTATTTTCTAGTTTTCTTTCTGCGATAATATTAATTCTAAAACTGATTTTACATCATTAAAAATATTCAGGAAGATCTGCAGCTGTTAATACTTTTCCCATTTAACAAAATCAAGACAGATTAGAAACATAATAATGTGAGATATATTTACATATTCTGAGCTTTTCCAAGTTTTTTTTTTTTCTTTAAAAAGAATGATAAATATACTAAGGCCATATGACACGGAGAAAAGAGAAGGAGTTCATAGATTATTTTTACATAACTATAGTACCTGTCAGTAGCTAAAGAGATATATATTAAGAAATTAACATCAATTAAGTACCGTATATTTTTAGAAAGTAATTCAGTCTTTCAATAGTCAAAAAACAAGTACATATTCTTGACCACTCTCCCTGAAAATAAGACATTAATCATTATCACACAAAAATACTTGATTTATAGTTGATATAAAGGGAAAACAGGACATCAGATACTACAATGTGACAGCATTTGCCAGACACTGGCTTTGTAATGATGACTAGCCTAGCTACAGACTAGCAGTTATTTTCCCTTTATCTGTAGAGAGAAGATAGCTACAATATGCAGGAAAGCCTTTTTTATGCAGAAGGATTATGAAAATTCCATGCCAGTGAACAGACAACAACAGAGTTACTCAAAATACGGTCTTTAAAATTCAACATTTGAGAAAGTAAATTTACACCTGAACAGTCACTATTGGGACATTTGTCTACAGCACAGCAGTTTGTTAGGCACAGCACTAAAACACACATTCTCTCCTGTCGGGCACTCTTCCTCTTTGAATTTTCTATGCAAGTTAAATTTTCTTCTTTGTCTGTTCTACTGCTTACCAGAAACAGTGACAATGGCCCATGGAGGCTAAAACTTTTTTTTTTTTCTCCACCCTTTCTTTAAATCTTGTACATGAAGCCTTCAATTACTGCCTGCCAAAGCAGACAGAATCCTATTAGCACGAAAGACAATCAGAAGATGCAACGCCCTGCCCTAGCTGTAGTCCAAAGTTGATAAATGCATAATCGAGTTATGCAATTAATATATTCAAAGGGGAAAAAATACTGCTGTGAATTAGTCTTCAATTTGTAAATATAAGAATGGACATATATGAAGTACCTTCCAGTGTATCAACTGGACAACAAAAATATTCAGAGTTTCTAATCTAAAAGAGTCTCTGAATCTTCACCGTACTCTGATAAACTCTACCTATGTACAAGTTTAACTTTATAATTAACATTTAATCTAAAAACTAGCTAAATTACTAATTACTCATATTTGCTCTCAGAGTAAGCCTTAGAACATGAAAAATAAGTATTTGGAATAGCATTACTTAGCATTACTAAGTATTAGTTCTGACCTGGGGATCGAGTAAACTTAATACTAAAACATAAGCAGTAATATACTCCAAAAAGAAGAACCTTTTTCTTTAACCTGGTGATTTTAACCTCTCAGAAAAAAATCTTGTTTATAATTGGTTATTAATAACAAAATATTATTAATATTTACCTTAAAATCATGATAATTTGACATTTTTTATATTTTCTTTTTTCCAGTGCATTTCATGCTATTTTAACACTTAGATATCTTAGAACAAATTTTTCAAAATACCTCACTCATTACCATAATGTAATTATTTACAATATTAACTACTTTTAGGTTTAATAAAATAATAAAATAGTAAAATTAATTGCAATCAATTCTGTACTATATTTCTACCATTTTTAGTTCTATTGCCAAAACAGATTTGGAGTTCATCCTCAGTTGCCAGTAAGCAGTTGCACTGTACCTCTAACAAAAATGAAGGAATGCAAGTGACTTATTGTCCAACACATAGCACTACTCCACACGTTCAAAAAGACCTTGCATGAACTTTTTGTCACCCTTAAAATTTACATCTAGGTCAAAAATCTAAACATTTTTATTTGAAGGAATTTCTGTCTCCTCT